AATGAGGACATAACAGTACATACTCTTTTTGGCAGTTGGTGGGGAGAGGTCTGGGTTCTTCCAGCACATTTTGAGATTCATTCAATTCATAGACCATATAATTCACTTTTTTACAGTGTAGAATTCAGTAACTTTTAATATATTCATATATTTATACAGCCATTACCACGATCTAATTCCTGAACATTTTCATCACCTCGGAAAGAATCCCTGTACTAATTGGCAGTCACTTCCCATTTCCCTTGCACCACAGTCCCTGGAAACCACTAACTGTCCGAGTTGTCTTTTTCTTTTTGAGTTGTAAGATCCCTTTATACATGTTAGATATGAGACCCTTGTCAGATACATACTTTGGAAATGTTTTCTTCCATTCTGTGAGTTGTCTTTTTACTTTCTTGATGGTGTTCTTTGAAGCCCAGAAGTTCTTAATTTTGTTGAGGTCTAATTTATCTACTTTTATTCTTTTGTAACTTGTGTTTTTGGTGTTGTATCTAAGAAGGCTCTGCCTAATCCAAAGTGATGAAGGCTTACATCTATGTTTTCTTCTAAGAGTTTTAACAGTTTTAGATCTTATATTTAGGTTTACAATCCATTTGCAGTTAAAATTTGTATACAATTCAAGGAAAGGGTCTGACATTATTTTGCATTTAGATATCTAGTGGTACTAGCACCATTTGTTGAATATATAATTTTCCCTTATAGAATTGTCTTGGCACCCCTGTTGAAAATCAGTTGACCATAAATATGAGAGTTTGTTTCTGGACCCTCTATTCTATTTCTTTGATCTGTGTATCTGTTCCCATACCAGTAACATGCTGTCTTGATTACTGTAGCTTTGTAGTAAGTTGAAATTTGGAAGTGTGAATCTTTGTCAAGATTATTTTGGCTATTTGGGCTCCTTATCATTTTCATGTGTTTGGGCTGAACTTGACAGTTTTTGCGAAGCAATTCACTAGGATTTTGATCTGTAGGTTGTTTTGGAAAATATCGACATCTTAGCAATATTAAGTGTTTAGATCCATGAACATGAGATGTGTTTTCATTTATTTTAGTTGTTCTCTAATTTCTTATAACAATGTTTGTAATTTCTATTGTACAAGTTTTGCATGTCTTTTGTTAATTAGGTATTATTTTTTGATACTATTATGTATTGTTTTCGTAATTCCATTTTTTGGATTGTTCATTGTTAACATATAGAAAT